CCCTCACAAGCTCAATGACACCGCACATATCAAACTGGTTTGTGAACAGTAAGGAGGCAGAGTCTGAAAGGTGTGGGAGGGCTGGGTCGTGGCCCTGGCTCCACCCAACCAGCTCTGAGGCCTCGGGGGCGGGAGGGATGGGGCAGAGGGAAGGTTGTTTTGGATGCCAGAGGCCCTGGGGGGACCAGGTGGTCACTGGCCTCCTGGTCAGCCCACCCGAGTTTGGTCTCACAGCAGAAACAGGGACACGGAGACCGGAGGGGCAGGGCCTCTGGGTGCCCCAGACCCCCCAGCGGGGGCTGAACCCCCTTCAGTGGCCTTGAGGCCTCCGGGAGCCCCTCTGTGGAGTCACTGTAAGTGGGCGTAGTGTCCCTGACACAGGGGTGCCCAGCCCCAGGGGCACCCCCAGCAGTCACACCTGATAGGCTCGTGCCAAGACACACGAGGGCACGTGCACCCCACACAGAACCCTGGGTACGACGCACACGCATCCACACACCACACACACGTGTAATCACATAAGCACCTGCCCAGACAGCCAGACCGATTTCAGGAAGATGGCCTTTGCGTGGGTCCCAGAACAGCAGCCCACAGGGGAGTCCCACCTACTTCTGCCCCTGCACCCCTGGGACGGTGGGACAGGCCCCACGATGCCCAGAAAGGAGCTGTCTTCCGCGGGACCAGGACGGACCTCCCACCTCTGAGTGACATGCCACCATTAAGGCACCAGGTGTTCGGAATTTGAAGGTTTCTCTGCTCAGGTTCTGGAATAGACCAGGATGCCTTTACTTTAGGCAGGGCAGGTGAGAGCAGGGCCCGTCCCACTCTGGCCTGTAAAGTGGGGTGAGGCCTCCATCTCTCCGGAGCTGCGTGGCTTGGCTGGGAGGTCAGAAGTGGAAGGGCTCTGGCTGGGGCTGGCTGGGGCCCTGGCCTCTGACGGCCCCCACCCCTTGAGGGAACCGTTAGCAGTGGGTCAGTTCCTCAGAGCCCAGAGGCTTTGCCTCTTGTTCACCACATGACTGGAGGCAGGGCTGCCCCTCATCCCAGTGTCCCCGTCTAGGCAGCGGGTTAGCAGGCTTCCCTTCCTTCTGAATGGCACCAGAAAGGTTTGTCAGGAAGCATGACAGGCCGTGGAGAGAAAGAGGGGCTCTTTGGGGTCATGGGAAGCATCACAGAGCCTGGAGGACAGCCCTAGGTTGGGGGTTGGTGCAGGAGGGCAGCAGGGGGGGCGTCCAGACTCACCCAATGACGTAGGCCAGAACCACGAGCTGGATCAGGCGGAAGACGACGCCCACCTTCTTGTTGCGCACAAGCACCACTCGGGGGGTGTCGTACTCAAAGAAGAAGGCAGCCAGCTCGCCCTGGAGCCGCCTCGCCATGGTGGCCCAGCTGGGGGCTGAGGACCGAGCCCCCTGCCCAGCCTTGGCTCCCGGGGTGAGCCAGGCGTCAACACCCGCGTCTACAGCGAAGTTTCTAGAGGCTTCCCAGCCCCTTAGGAAGAGCAGGGTGGGAAAGGTGGGGCCAGAGGTCAGGAGTCAGAGGTCAGTTGTCAGCACTTGAGCTGGGAGGGAGAGTCCTTGGGTAGTCAGAGCCGCTCTTGGCCCCTGGCAGGCGATGGACTGTGGACCAGCTGTGCCTGTGGACAAATAAATTCCCAAAGATAGGCGGGGGCGGGGCCAGGGGGGCCACCCAGGCCCGGCCCCCCTGCCCCTCCTGGCTCCGCCTGGGCCCTGCTGGGCCTCCGGAAACGGGAGCTGTTGGCAGGAAACCATGGGCCACCCGGCACAAGGCAAAGATAAAGCTGTCAGCCCCGCACGAGCTTGGTAGAACAGAGCTGGGGGCTCAGGCCAGGGCCTGGGTAGAGTGGCCTCAGGCTGGAGCCCTCCCCAAACCAGGGACCCATCTCGTATCCAAACATCCTCCCCACCCTACCTTGGCCTCCAGGTGGCAAGCTCAGTCCCTGGGAGTCTACAGCCAGGAGGGCAGAGAGGAAGGAGGGCTGCTTCCAGCCCAGCTGCCTGACACTTCCTGAACCTGTGGCAGGACCCCCACCCCGCCCTTATAGACCACCTTCCATCCACCCATCCCTTTGGGTCTGAGCCTGGCCCGTGCCCAGTCAACCTCAGCGTCGGGCTGGCATCTCCATCCCCCCACCTCTCTTGTCCTGGCCGCACCTCCACTACCCTGAAACCAGCACGGGGCGCAGGAACCCAGGCCAGGCGAGGGCCGCGTCTGTTACACATCACTGTCGGGCTCCCAGAGCCCAGCAGGGGAAGCCTGACATCAGACTGCCTCAGTGAACACCCCTGGCTGTACTGCTTGCTGTGGGGGCCTGGGTACCTTGCCTCACCTCCCTGAGCCTGCTTCCTCATCTGTGAAATGGGGCAATAATGGGACTTTCCTCATAGGTAGAGGCCAGGGGATGGGTCCTGACAACACTGACAGAGAAATTGAGGCCACTCCTGCAGCCCCTGCCCTCAACCCCAACCCAGGCCCTGAAAGCAGGGGCCCTGGGGGCTGGGCTGGGGCAGGTCCTGTGTTAACTCTGCGAGCATCAGAGCTGGAGGCTAACTCCCAACCTCCCTCTCATTTTGCAGGTGAGGAAACTAGACTCAGAGAGGAAAAATGAATTGCCCAAGCTCACCCTGCACGGTACAGGAAGCCCCCGCTTGAAGCAGGAAGGTCTCCCTGGCCCACCCTCCACCCAGGCTGGGTGTCCTCGGGGCGCCCCCACCCCCCCGCCCGCCCCGTCCAGGCTGCCCCACCCTGAAGGCTGATGGGAGTCCTCTTCCTGGCAGGCCTTTAGCTGGGAAATCACTCTGGGCAAGGAGCCAGGCCCCGGGGCTGGGAATCCCAGCCTCCTGTCTGAGTAGAGCTGCCTTCTAGACAGCAAGGGGTCCCCACAGAGGGCCCCTCCAGCACCCCAGCTCAATCCCCCCATCAAACAGATCAGCCTCACCCAACACAGAGTTCCCGCCAATCTCAGGCTCAAGGGTCTGTCCGGGGATGCTGCCTTCAAGAGGGGCTGGTGAGTACCACGTCCTGGCTTTTCTAAGGAAAATCCAGAGATGCTGGGAGGCAGAGCGGAGGTAGCCACATCCCCTTGGCCTGGTCTTGACCTCAGACAAACAGGCCTGTCCTCTTCCCAGCTGACCTCATGGCCCTTGGAATAGCAGGCGCTGGACATGAACTGTTTGCAGTGGAGGTGGGGTGGATGCTGACACCGTGTCTGGGCCATCTCTGTGTTCCCACTCCACCCACCCTTCTCAGGACAGCACACCACACTTGGGAGGGCGGCAGGCACTAAACTGGGGTGGGGGGGAAGGGGAGGGGGAAAGGAAGGGCGGAGGAAGGGAAGGAGGGAAGGAGGGAGGGAGGGAGGGCGGAAGGAGGGAAGCCAAGCAGTCTTCCTCCAGTCTGTGTCTGCGCCCTTCACTCCATCACCATGTTTTCCTCTTCCCTGCCTCCTCCTCCTCTTCCTCCAAGGAACTAGGCTTGCTGACAGACAGATGGACCAATGGACAGACAGACTTGCTTGGAGCACACACACGTGCTCCTGTTACAGCCTCGGTTCTGACCCTGACACTCAGAAAACAGGATGCGCCGGAGGACAGTCTCATTTGGGGATGTTATCATAACCAAAAATGTGCCCCAAACAAAAAGAAATAAAAGCAATTACATTTCTTTCCCCAAATTCCTTTTCTTGTGAACCACTCTGTGAGAGTAAGACAGGCAGCTGATAGGGTCAATGTCCCTTTCACTGGTTCTAAAGTGCATCTTTCCATTGAGGCCTGTGCTTTCCCGCCCCTGGCCCCCACTTCGGCATCCCCAGGGACAGATATCCGTGTTTGTTCCAGGCATTTGGGGAAGTGAAGGAAACCTAGAATTCTGCAGGCTTTTCTTTACAGCAGCCCCGTGATGGAGGCTCAAGAATTGTCATTTTGCAGATAAAGACACTGAGGGTCTGGAAGTTAAGGGCCTTGCCCAAGGTCACACAACGATTAGCTCCCGTATCTGCTGGTGGCCGGGAAGGAAGCTCCCCAAAGTCTGAGATCTTGGCCCAGAGCCCACCCTAAGACTCCAGCCCTTCAGAGCCGCCAGACCTGCCTTATAAGCCCAAAGGCCGGATGGCCTGAGTGGGTACTGGGCCGGGCCTTGTAGGGAGGCAAGGCAGTGCTGCCAAGCTTGGCCCCAGGATGACCTCCCCCGCCTGGCTAAATTTAGCCACTCTGTGAGGGTGGACGGGGCCTGTGTGCCTATCCTGGAGGCCAGCCCGGGCCCTCAAGGAGGTCGGCACAGGCTCCAGTGGGTCTCCTTGGCCACTCAGGGTCCCAAGGTTGCAGTGGCCACGCCTCTGCCCGGAGAGGAGCTCGGCCCAAGCTCCCACACCAGCTGGTCCAGCCTCAGTGTTCACACAGCCTCTCAGACGCTGTGGAACTGGGCCCTGGGCTGGCCTAAATGGACTGTCTAGGGGAGGGCAGGCATCCATGGGGAGGCCACTACGGGGGTCCCCAGGCTGGCTTCTCCCCACTGCCCAGATCTTGCATGGCTTCTCTGGCCTCTTCCACCCCCTACTAAGGGCCTCCATCCGGCTGCAGCCCCTCTGCCCGAGTGTCTGAGGCATCACGACCCCCTGCTTCTTCTCCATGCTTTGGGGCCGTCTCCCCTTGGCTCTCAGCCTCTTCCTTCCCCTGTAAGTGGGGACTCTTTGGGGCTGGCCTGGGCCACTGCCCCACAAACACTGCGCACACACTCGGACGCCCGCCCCCTGCCGACGCTGAAGCCGCTACACCTACAGCAGCTGCGTGCCCGCCACCTCCTCTGGCTCCCACCTCTTTTCTCTTTCTTCTAAATCAAACTGCACTAAGGTAAAATTTACACGCAATAAAATGTACCCGTTTTAGGCACACAGTTTGACGAGTCTTGACAAATGCATGGAACTCCCCTCCCCTCCCCAATCCCTCACCCTTGAATGTTCCCTCCTGCCCCTTTGCTGTCGGTCTTCCCCAACTCCCAGCCCCCAGCAATCACGGATCTGCTCTGTTGCTACAGCTTTGTTTTGCCTTTTCTAGAACTTCATGGAGGTGGAATCGCTCAGTATGGGCTCTTTTTGGTTCTGGCTTCTTTTCCTTAGCCCCAGGGTTTTAAGCATCATGCATTCTGTTGCATATATGGGTACATTGTTTTTTATTGCTGAGGAGTATTCTGCTGTATGGACATGCCAGTTTGTTTATCCTTCCCCTGTCGATGGACATTTGGGCTGTTTTCAGTTTGGGGCTACAATGAATACAGCTGCTGTGGACACATCTTCATTTCCTGGTTTTGCCCGTCCATTTCTCCCAGTGCAGCCCCAATGGGCATCCATCCCTCCTGGGAGGGGTGCAGTGTGGGGGGCCCTAGGAGCACAAAATCCTGGCCTCTGGAGGGGGCGGGGGAGGCCATGGGCATTTTGGTCACTGCCATCCCCGAGCCAGTGCGAAGTGTGCCGGGGCTTTCCCCGGAATTTCCTCCTGGGTCAGTGGCCGTGAGGTAGGAAACCTCTGTTTACCTTGGCCCATCGGGCTCCATGTCCTGTGGGCTGGACAAGGCCGGACTTGGGCAGGGCTGGGTGGGGATGGAGGCAAAGCAGGCCTGGCCACGTGCCCCAGAGGCTGCCAGGAGCGCTGGAGCCCGCCTGCCTCCTATGTAAGAACCCCAGGACCACCTTAGCGCCGCTCGCTGCCTGTCCGTCAGGATGAGGGCCAGCTTGATGGTCAGACTTTCAGAGGGCCTCAGGCTCTTTATCTGTAAGACGGAGCCCTACGCCCTGCCGGGCCCATCTCATGGAGCTGGTTGAGGACCTGGAGACAAGGTCTATGAAAAGGCTTTGTGATCTGAGATGGATCTTGTTCAAGAGGGAATCCTTCTGCCCATCCCCGGCTTCTGCTGTGTGCTGTGTGTCAAATCCTGTCTCCTAAATAAAGCCTGGGAGCTCCGAAGGGTGGGTCCTGCCTGTCTCCTCTGGTCACGGCCTGCTTCCCGGACGTGCCATCCCTGCATTACACGGGGCCCTGTGCTCAGAAGGGCCCCGCACTTGGCGTATTGCTCTGCTGCCACTGTTAAGAAATTCTTAATTTTTGAACAAGAGGCTCCCCATTTTCATTTTGCACTGAGCCCCACAAATTATACAGTTGTTCCTGCCTCTGGCCCTGTGGGCAGGGCCTGAGTCCCCTTCCGAGGGCAGTGAGCCCTCCTTTCAGAGGAGGAAATGAGGGAGGCAGGGGAACACGGCTCTTCCCTTCCCAGAGCTCCCACTTTTGGAGGGCAGGGTCACCTGGGTGAGTCAGGAGTTAATGTCAAGCAGCCTCACGAGGCCCCGGGACAGTGTGAGCCTCAGGAAGCCTCGGGGAGGTGCATTTGAGCTGGGCTGGGAAGGACAAGAGACGGATGGTACCTCAGGGAGACACAGGACCCCTGGAACAGCCAGGGCTGGGGGCCCCTCTGTGGGGAGCAAGTGACCCCTGATATTCAGGCTTCAGACCCAGCCCTGCCCCTCCCAGCCTCATCTCCCTGTGAATCGTGTGTAAAGGGCTTTGATCACATGCACAAACTTTCAAGTGCTGTACATGTGAGGAGAAGGCAGTCAGGCCTCTGCTTCCGGGGGCGTGGCTCCCCGCCCCCTGTCTGAGGATGAGATCTCCCTCCGGCTGGGCTGGCATCGGAGCCCCAGACCTTCACTCACTGCTCCTGGAGGAGGGGGCACAGGTGGTGGGAGCCCCCAGGGAGACACCGAGGGGGCAGAGGGGGGACCGCTCTCCAGGAAACACGC